AAAAAGTTTATATTTTTCTTCTTCAATTCTTCAGATTTGTAAACAAAAGAAATACAACTCTTCTTACGTAATGATATTTTTTATTTGGGATGACAATTCTCTAGTCAATATCAGAAAAGGAAAAAAGAGAGAATATAAAATAATGAAAAGGAAAAGAAAGGGAAAAACAGAAACAAAGAGAGAGAAAAAGAAAAAAAAATGACTTGAAAGAAACAATAAATTTCGAGAGAGTAAAAATTTCATGTTTGTTTATTTAATTAAAGTAGAGTAATTTTAGTTATATCAGATTTTTCAGAGATAAATTAATTTTGTCCTTAAAAAAAAGAGAAAGAAGACAAATTGAGAAAAAGAAGAAAAGAATAAAATAGCTAAAGAAATGTTTAAAAAGGAAGCAGAAAATGAGTTCAATGAATTTCTTTTCCTTCGAAATTCACATTTTTAGTCTTAATTCCAGTTCCGTTTATTAATTTTGGGTTCATACACAAAGCTCGTTTCTTTCTTCACATTTTTCATCAGATTAATCCGTTAGACAAAGCCCATTTCATTTTACAGCCCATTGTGGTGGAGAACAGGGGAAGCACGGAGGAAGAGAGCAGAAGAGGGAGTTAGCTGACCAGTCAGGGACACTTTTTTGAAGACCAGATAGCAAAATCGGGAACTTCTCTCCATTTACATTTTTTTTTTTGAAAGGGAATCGATTTCCCCAGGAGGGAATTTGGTGGAGGAAGGAGGGTTTCTCTGTCTCGATTCTCTTTTCGAATAGGGTCGAGAAAAAGGGGCCTTGGGCTTTCCGCACCGAGTAAAACGGAGAACACGAGGGAAGAAAAGAATTGTCTGGGTTCTGATATGCACGGATAGCGATTGGTAGTGAGAAGAGGACGCAGAGTAGCAAGAGGCAGAACCAGGGAAGGGAAGAAGCAAAAAGGAAGAAGGCTTGGGGAACGAGGTTGCTCTTCAGACAATTACACTAGGTAATCTGTTACATGAATTTTCTCATTTGATTATTGTAAACTGAATTGATTTTGATTTGGGTTGATTGAATAGTAAAGATGACAGCATTTTTTGTATTTGGCTCATGTGACTGAAATGTTCAGTCGAATGGAAATTCAGTTTGTTTATATTCATGTGTGTATATATATATATTTCATCTACCGGAATCTGAGTTCATTTCATTTACATAATAATAGCCTTTGTTTTTTTCTCAATCTATTTTTTAGCCCAATATCAGTGTAGGGATCAGAGGCTTTCCTTTTTCAAATAACTTCTGTTTCTGCCGTGCTTGAATTTTCGGTGTAGTTTGAGTCAATAGCTACTTAAAGAAATGGACATCATTTTGATCACTGGCCTCTTTTCCTGTGTGCGTGCAGTTGTTTGTTCTTCTTATCAGTAACATGAAATGATTTTGGAATAGAGATGTTGCTGTTGCTGAATTATTTTTTGGTGCTTAACTGAGAAGCTATCTCAACACTGTGTCATCTTGAACTATGTGGTTTCTAGAGGAGCTTAACTTGATCTGAAATGAAGTTCGAATCAAGCTTTGAGCTGAACTTGACTTTGATACTTTTTTGAGAAATCATACTCAAAGCTTTGGTTATTTGGCTTGCGTCAGCTTGCTGCCAACCCTATTCATCCCTTATTTTTCTTTTTCCAAATTTCTTGATTCCTTCTCTCTCTCTCTCTCTCTCTCTCTCTCTTATTTGCTGCTGTTTTAATGAATTACAGGTTTTATCAAATCTCCGGTGGCGATAGTTGAGTATTGGGTTCTCTAGTGGCAATTTCCTGGCTAGCAACCATGGATGGTACTTGAAACCATCAAATCTCTGTTGTTTTAGTTTTCTTAATTTTTTTGCTTTTAAAAATTGATAGCTTTATTATCATTACTTACATGATA